AAGGGAGACATAATAAATTTTAGGGAAAAAATGGCAACAATTTGGGCACACAAGTCCTTCTTCTGGCCTGAAATAGGCAGCGAATCCTCCCAGGGGAGGCTTTATGAGCAGGGCTGTTCTTGAAATGCCATTTTTTAAAGTGGCTTTGCTGCTAAAGCTCAGGACATGACAAAAACAGGTCATACAAACCATCCAAAACCATGCTCCTCTTAGGTGTTTTTCCCCAAAGCCCAGCAAGCTGCTGTATCTAACCAGCAGCATTATGCTACAACTCTAAAATACCCAGGAGCACTCAAACACTCCCATAGAAGGGACTACACATGGACGTGGTGCCAGTGGTGTCCTCCATCCTCACTGCGTAGCCCTTCATAGCCATGGAGCCAGGCAGCATCTCACAGCCACCTGTCAGGGGCAGATCCAAACCAAACAGCCTTTCAGAGGGTACTGACAATGATGTCTTCATTCCCTACTGCTAGCGGTGCAGGAGCTTTAGCTGCCTGTTTGTTCAAGTAGCACTGTGCCAAGCTCCTGGTCCTGGAAGTCCCTGGAGAGATGGTGAGAGCTCTGGCATGGGTGGACTTTGCCAGGGTACATACATTGGCATCCCAGTGGGAGATGCTATCCTTAATGTAGGCACCTTGTATCATGAGTCCCCCACATGCAGATGCTGAAGAACAGATCAGTAGGATTTTGTGCTCTAAAATCCCCAGCTTGACGTCTTCCCGGCTGAGGTGGCCCATGACACTGTCACCATGTACAAGATGGATTTGCAAACTGACAAAAGTTTTCTTCTTTATTTAAAATATGCAATGAGAGACAGGGAGAGAAGAGAGGGCAGTAAGTACGTTCAAATTAATGCAACATTTACCAAAATCAACATTAAAAACAATTCATAAGAGAACATCTAAGTGTCTCTACACTGAAATATTTCCCATTAATACCACCAGCAAACCCAGGGATGACTAGAGGGCAACCAGAATTGTCCACAGGCACATGGAAACCTCAGCACCACTCTGCTTGAACCTTGAGCAGTTGCAAACTGTCAAGAACAATGATGCCACCTTACAGATCATCTCCCAGGCTGCTTTTGGGAAGCCTAGCCCATGAGCAGGTTTTGGTAATGCACATGTACACACATAAAGACATGCATTTCAACTGCATTCCAGGATGGATGGCCTGAGCCTTGTCTGGCTCCCTGACTCTCTTTTAAAGAGCAAATAAAAGTTGCCAACATCCTCATGAAAGACAAGCCTAGCAATTTAGCAGTTGCATCTTTTAATATTTTCTTAATTTTTTTAAACACTGCATTGAAAACCAACCGGATTTTTGGGTTTTGTTTTAATGGCAAGGCAAAAATTTGCTGATCCTCCCCGAGGCGAAGTTACTTTCAAGTCAGTGAAAGTTCTTGGCCCGTGATGAAAAGTCTTTGCCAATTAGCGCTCAACAACTTCAATTCATCCCTCCTGGTTCAAGATGAGTAGGAACCTAATAAGGCTGCGATAAAAGGGCAAAAGGCACCGAGTACCCAAAGGGGATTAATGGGCTCTTCCATTTATTTGTCTTCCTAACAGCTGAACTGTTACAAGTATTGATGGTCTTCAAAGGCTTGGGCGCTGGGGTCTCCAATGGCCATCTCCAGCTCCCTAGCCCCGAGGGGTGAGGGCTTCCCCCTGGGCGATGCCAAAACCAACAAAGCCCCGGGGATCAGGTAATGAAACTTCAGCTTCCCCCCACCCCTCCCTTCTTTGAGATTTATTTACTGGCAGCTGACAAGGGGCAAATTCAGCTGGAATTGTGTAGTCAAGGCCCTGTCAAGCCTTCAGAGGCACCCTTATGTCGAATCACCTTCCTGACTGGCATGTAGCTGAAAAGCCCTCGGCGCTGGTCCTTAACAGCTCCCGACAGCACAAAGGACACTCCAGACAGATGCCTACATGGCATCCTGCAGCATTTTAAAAGAGAATTAGTGGTTTTAATTATGGTCGTCGTATGAAAGGAAACCATGCAAGCTCGGCAGGAGACCTTTGATCAAACCCTTTTGCTAGCACAATGCCGCGGAACTGTGACTATTCCTAGCAAGGGGCCTTTTCTTGCTGAATGACTCACCAGTGATCTTTGAATGCAGACAAGTTCCTTGCCCTCCCTCTTCATTAGTGAGCATTTCTATACAGGCCCTATATAGTACGTGGAGTCTTGGAGCTATACAATGTGTGGGGGGGGGGGGAAGAATCCCTACAGATTCTGGCCTCTACTTAGGAAGTGCTGAAGGACTCTGAGTGACTTTATTCATTAAAACAGGTTGCTATTAATTAACTGTCATAATAAAATAAAGAACTATTATTTGCATTTCTTAGTGTGCTCCCTTTAGTAATATGTATAAAAGATGCTTGTAACAAAAATGAATTTATAAGGGAGAAAAAACCCTCAGAAGTCTCTTCCCCCCCCTTCACCCTTCCCAATTCTCCTTTATTTATTTATTTTTTCTTAAGGTCTAGGCAGCAGGAGCCTGACTAATTATTAGGACCAGTTTTGCAAGAGAACACAGAGGTAAAACACAAATATGAAAGTAATTAGGAAAACGTAAAATCCTGTTTACTTGGCAACCTATTCATGCAACTGAGACTAACAAAGAGCAAATCAGCTTTACTTGTTTGATAAACTTCAGGGTGCCACCTAAGAGGAGCTGATAAAAATTAAACTTCTGCCAGCATCCCTCAGCATCACCTTTTAGTGAATCGGCTCAGAAACGACTACACAACCGTTTCGTCTGCAAGCACCAGCAATCTCATGTGAGCAGATTCACAGGAGGAATTCTGTAACTTCCATCGCTGTTAAATATTAAACCCTTCGTGAGCGGCTGTCACGGGTATCTTCAAGCTGAACATGTAGCACAGACACCCATATCACACATGTACACAATTCATACAGACATGGCACACGTTGCAACCACTTCTGTTTTGCTCCCTAAAAAAGCATCCCATTCTCACTGCTCTTCACAGCTGGGAATGCTTTTGCTCATGGGAAAGTTCTCATAGTTTGCATCACTGGTTATTACAATACATGACGATACATTACTTGACGCAGGCTGCAGGCTGGAATACCTTTGTCCAGCCCCTCTTTTCTCCCAAGTAGATAGTGGAATCCACAAAAGCTTCCAATTATTTCAAGACTATGCAGCTAAGGAGGAGCATCTAATCAAGATAAAGAAAACCCTCAGCTCAGTATATTTGCTTGAATGGATTTTCAATAATGCAGGTAACAAAAGCATTCAAAAATTGGATTCCTAATGCTTTTCTGCTAGGCTGAAGGACTGACTCTGAGAAAGGAAAAGAAAGCCAGCCCTGAGAAAGTTGCCCTGAGGAATGTATGATATTCCTCTGCTCTGTACAAACACTTATGTGGGGATTGAGAAAAAGGAAGAGATTTAAGTGAGGCATGGTCAACCTGAAATGTAGTCAATTACAACACAAAGAGTTAAAATGACACCCCTGAACTGCTCTTCTTCCTTCTTTCCCCTCTGCTTTGTAGCTTTGCAACCCAGAAGCTGTAGTTCTGTTTCTTCTTATTGCTCATTTCTTATCTGCTGTTTGTACAGGAATCATTTATAGAAGTAAAGGGGGAATACCTATGGAATGAAACTAAGAAAACAAATCAGAATGAGAGGGAGAAAAATAAAGGATGTTGTTTTGCAACCGGAGTAAGACTCCTAGACGGCAGCTTCAGTTTTATACAGGCAGCATTCCTTGAAAACCAGTCTGGGAAAATCAGCACTTGGAGACAACAGAAGTAGCCTACTTTTAAAAGGATCTATTAGGGTTAGTATCCACACGAGCCTAAATCTGCAACTACATGAACCTCAAATTACAGATCAATAGAGCATCCACATGCAACACCCCTTGCTGCTGCACACATCCTAATCTGTTTCTCCAAGCCTCTGGGAAGCTTTCCAGAGGTACTACTTGATAACATGACATGTACAGAAGCACTTCTTCCTTCTCCTAAAATTTTACTATGAATCCTAAAATGAAATCCCAGCCTGGCAGCAATTTGTCTGCTATAAAACACTGGGCTGAGATTTCACATAACCACAGAACAAAGGATGAAAATTTAGATAAACACAACTTTCCAATAACAATACTAAAGTTTTGGATCTATTTTATGCATTTGAAGTATATGTTAATTGACAACATTTTGGAAAACATGCTATTTTATGCTTTTTGTTGTTGAAAATAAGTAGCTGAGCTCTTGTTAACCAAGTTGCTTGACTTTTGTGGCAGATTAAAAAGCAGGATGGATTCACGCTCCATTCTTCTGGTTAAAGCCCCTGACATCTCTAAAATTGTTCTGGCATCCCTAGTACCTGTGAGGATGTGGCAGAGCAAATGTAGTACATGCTTGCAGAGGAAGAGGCTACAGCACAAACGCCATGAGCTCTGGGGAGTGCAGCATCCCAAGGGAGCCGCTCTTGTGTCCCCATGCAGGGTGGCAGCATCACAGTCTCTCTCTGCCCCAGGTGGAGGCAGGTGCCGGAGATGCCCCACTGCTATCTAGGGTCACGGTGCTCTGCAAGGGAAAATACCCAAGTTGATTTCTCACTAATGGAAAACTAGAGCAGTAAAGTCTATCACAACATAAAATCCCAGTGCAACAAAAATAACCATTCCTGCAAAGCAAGGGAGGCAGAATGAGCTGAGTTGGTATCTACACACCATCCCATGCCAGGAGGGATGCATCATGTCTGCAGCACTCCTGGGCAACAGGCACAGCCAGGGGACAAAGCACATCTGAAACAGCAAGCCATCAGGCTCCCATGAAGGGCACCATCCCACATACTTGTCCTGATGGAAACCTACCTAACCAAACTGCCCCATGAGCACCTACATAGCACAGCTAAAGAAAAATGGCTCAGTAACACTTAAAGGCTACATGTTTTGTATCTACAAAAGATGCCACATTAATTAAAAAATTAAAAAAGCTTCACAGTACATCAGATTTACAGGTTTCTTTTAAGAAGAAAACTCTCCTTTTTGAAACAGAGTAATTTATTTAGTGATGAGCTGTTTTCCACACACACAGAACAACACAAACAGTTCATTTGGCAACAGCAATCAAAAGACCAAACAACAGTTCCTGCAGAAGCAACCACACTTGATTTCCTCTTCACTGACACCTCTGGCACTTTTTAGAACCATTCTCACGTTGTCAAGGCCTAATTCAGATTTTAAGTCCTGACTTCAAAATTTCGGCACTTCAGCACCCAGGTGGAGGACTGGGTGCTACCCAGCTCCCCGCCTCACATCTTCTTTCATTTTCCTCAGCCCCTGCAGCTCTTTCTTCAGGTGCTTCACAGCCTGCAGAATATCCTGCCGCTGGGGATCATCCTCCGCTTTCTCAGTGTACAGAAGGAAATGTTTCACAGTTTCAGAGAGCAACACTTCAGGATCCACATCCACCTGATGGAGACGCAACATCCTCTCACAGGCGATGGCGTAGTTCTTGTGCCAGTTCACTGGGTGATTTGGATGAGAGTTGACAATTTCTTTGTACGACTGTTAAAGGGACAAAAAAAAAAGCCCAGGGGGGGACAAATTAATTGAACGAAGGGGACCAACAGCTCTTAACAGTGCTTTAAAACTGCCTGTAAAGGAACAGATGCTATTTATACATCCAAGTCCAGAGTGCTTCTGTAACTCACTCTGTTTGCTATGCAATGTGCGATAGCGTGAATCAGAAATCCAAGGGGGGGCTGAAATGTTTCCCTTCCTATGGCAGCTGTTTGTTTTGAAACATTACAGATGATCATGATAACCCCACCGCACATTATGCACTTCCCCGAGAGGCATTACACCAGGCTGGGGAAAAAGAGAGATCTAATTGCTGCGCCTGCAAAGACATTTACTCAGTATTTCAGGAGATCAGGATGTCTTCCACAGAACGTAAGCAGTCTGTTCACTTGAGTGGGAATATTCATAAACTCAACAGCAGGCACATGCCCAACGACTTTTCAGAACAGCAAAAATCACAGCAAAATGGGCAAGAGTTGAAAGGAAACTATTTGTTGACTCTTTGCTGGAGTATGAAACACTCCTCCTCTCTGCTAACCCACACTGATCGTTTTGTGTATCTGCTGGCATCTCGGGCAGTCCAGCATTTCCAGAGATACCTTCACCAGCTCATGGGTGCTATTCTTTGGTGTGAAATGCAGCAGAATTAATTTGCAGCAAGAAGACTGTCAGATTTTACACTTGCTGGCTCACATGTGTGACTGTGTAATGACAGAGGGGATAAGTGCAAAGAGGGGACTTCAGGACAAGCAATCACTTGGCATGGGTTTGAAGCCCAGCACAGACAACGTATTTATAGCAAAAGCAGGGTGTTGCCTGGTTAGCTTTGGGCATCCTCTGTGACTGAGGGGGCAAGTAGGAATGGATAAAATCCCTGAAGAAATCTCTTTGAATCTGTTATGCTCCCAGTTTGGATGCACAAGGAGAAGGCAGATTACAGGACCTATGTGGAAACACACTATTTCTATGCAGCTCAGAAATTAAAAAAAAGGGGAGGGGAAAAAAAGGATGGAGACTGCAAGGAGCATTCATAGCCAGAATATACAACTTACAGCGTACGCAAATGTGTAAAGTTGTGATTTAATTTCTGCAGTGACACTGGCAGTTTCAGCAAGTTCAAATATAAAGAAAGCTGTTTTCATCCTAAGAAAAGAAGCAAAACTTTCATATAATAACTGCTTAACATAACTAGCTCGCATTACATGGTTATACACATCTTCAACATGCCTGCACATGGGACAGTACACCAGCATTTCTGTTTAAGTTGGCAGTGATACAAATTTCTCTCCATAATGTATTTCTTCACCCTATGTCCCAACTACCCTTTGCTCCCTCAAGATACTTCAAGCAGAACCTTTCAGTGAACAAAACCACCACTTTCCTGAAGGACTTGCTGGAGGCCATGCTTGCTTCTTCTCATTCTGTCAACCTTTTACTTCTAAAGCTTGGCACGTTTAGATCCAAAAAGGCCATGCACTATCAAGCCACCCACTTTGGCATGTATTTACATCCCACTGTGTTGGCATTGCCCACCAGCTGTTGGAAGGGAGCAAAGGAGAATTACCTGGCTTGCCACATCTCCTCATTGGCAACAGCTTCCCAGGAAGAAGGCTTGAAACTAAATGGGAATGAGAATAAAATTCAGCCATCAGATCTAAGCCACTGTGTTTCATCCACCACACAATCAACTTGGCAGCTACAGACCTCCCAGGCAGAAAATGACTTGTCATGAAGCCCCTGGCTCTGACGGCAGGGAATTCAGATGATCCTGTCACTCATAAAACTTTATTCCTTCATTTCCATAGAAGAAGCCTGATATACCAGGTGTTTCACAGCATCCTAGCTATCCTCAAAGTGAGAAATACTTTTTACCATCCATCCCTGTTCAACCTATGAGATTTAAAACACTGAATGTCCCAAGTCCTCAATTTTTTTTTTTGGCTCCTAATCAAGTTTTAAGATTGGAATTGGCCCTAATACTTGACTAGAAATGTCCTCTCTATTTTTAACACTAACAAAAATACCACATGCAGATTTGTTGTATGTTCCAGAACACACAACATTATGGTTATTACTCATGTTTAATTTTTGTAACATTGCAATGGATGTGGCTATGCTGCTGGCAGAAGAATGATGAACAGGAAGGAGCAGAGTTGCCTCTGCTTCGTACCTGCCATAGTCTTCGGTCCAGTTATAGAGATTTCTTGTAAGATGAATCCACGCTCCTGGGTCAAACACAATATTGGAAGGAACCAACTTCTCACACGTACCCCATGGCCAAAGAGAATAGCTCCTTCTCCAGGTTGAGTCACCTTCATGAAGACCTATGCAGACAAACACTTCTTTACTGCCAAAAAAACAACAGAGAGAGCAATCGTGAAGCCATGTCAGAGACCACGGGCCACCGCACACGCTTTAGCACACCACACAATACCACATCAAAAAAGGGAATGTCTTTGTGTCAGTCTCCAAAATAGCAAGCAAATACCCCGCCTGGCATTGCACACCTTCCCTATGACACATCCCCTTCCCTATGCTCGACCTCACAAACAACCAGAAGCCATAGGAGAAGCCTGTTTCTTCCTGACAGCACCTGGCAATGCTCTTCTGCCTACCCACACTTGCAAGGCTCACCCTGGCTTGTCTAAATGCAGATGCTATTCTTATTCATGGGAGTACTAATCCTTTCTCCACTCTTACTAAGCTATTTTTATATGACGTTTATTCCTGGAATACATTCATTCTATACTAATCAGCTGGCCACAACGTTCACAAAGGAGAAGCAGCAGCAATTTGCTTTCCAACCACCATCATTTTGAGTAGACAGGGAAGTTCCGTTTTTTGTGATGAATTGTATCAACAACAACAACAAAAATAATCAGTAAATACTCTCTTCTGATCACCTTCTTATTTTTCCTTCCTAAACCCCAAACCAACCTCAAAAAAACATGCAACATTATATCCGGATGGAGTTACTTCTACATAGATATTTGCTTTAATTGCAAATATAATCTCAGCACCAGCGAGGAAGTCAGTGGAGAAAATTGGTCTTTTGGATGCAATAACAAGCTGTTCTATAAACCATTTCAAGAAAAAAAAGGCTGAAGATTTTAGGCAAGCTGTTACATATGAAAGAAATGCTTACTGCTTATTTACTTTGAGGAAACGATGGAGATTAAAAGCAAGTGTCCCATCAGGTAATACTCCTTCCACAGGATTCCACTGGTTCCCAGGAAAATAAATGCCAGGTAAATGCTTTGCCAGCTTGGGTAAATACCATTCATAAGTCATCATCTATCAGCAAAAATATTGTAATTAAAACAAGTACCAAAGTTTTCATCAATTTTTACATCCAGAAGAAATGGTTTCTGCAGAAGTAATGACAAGCCAGAATTTACCTGGCTAGGAAGCACCTCTACGGAAAAAGGGACCTGGGGGTCCTGGTGGACCAAGCTCGATAGGAGTGAACAGTGTGCAGCTGCAGCAAAGAAATCTAGGAGGATGCTGGGTTACATCAACAAGGGCATCACCAGCAGAGATAAAGATGTCGTCCCATCTACTCAGTGCTTGTCAGGCCACACCTGGAATACTGTGTTCATTTTGGTTCCCACTACACAAAAAAAGATGTGGACAGGCTGGAGAGGGTCCAGAGAAGGGCCACAAAGATGATCCAAGAACTGTGAAGCCATGTGAGGAAAGGCTGAGAGAACTGGGCTTGTTCAGCCTAGAGAAAAGAAGGCTCAAGGAGACCTGATCACCATGTTCCAGTATTTAAAGGGTGGCTTATAAGAAGACGGAAACTCCTTTTCACAAGGAGTCACAGGGAAAAGACGAGGGTACAAGTTACTCCTGGGGATACTCTGGTTGGACACAAGAGGAAAATTTTTCTTGATGAGAACAATCAGGCACTGGAATAATCTCCCCAGGCAAGCAGTAGATTCCCCAGTAACGGAGACTGTTAAGATTCAGCTGGCCACGGTGCTGGGGCATGTAGTCTAGGTCACGTTTTGCCTAGAAAGGTTGGGTGAGATGACTCTTGAGGTCCCTTCCAAGCTGGTATTCTATGATTCTGTGACTCTATTTGCTCAGTAAAGTCACCTGTCACTTCAGCAATGGCCTGGGACCACACCACCACACCACCAGACTAGGTCACCAGTGGTTTCTGATCATAAGCACGTGGTCCTCGCCATAGGCAAAACTATGAGAAAACATGAAATAGCTACTGCTGGTAAGACAGACAAGAGGGCTTTGGCTGGTTAAATATGAGGCACTGAGTTCTGGGTTTTCTAACAAGTTGCAAAACTTGTTGAAAAGCCAAGTGCAAGAACTGATGTGGCAGTGGAAGTGCAGGGGTCTTCTGTGAGTGGGGTTTTTCTTCTCCTGTTTCTCAGGAAAAAAAAGACAAACACCACCCAGGGCACACAGCACCTATGTTTTAATATAGGAAACAGAGGCAGAAATATGCAAAACCACCTTTGGGGAACCAAGATAACAGGGGACACGGCGAATGAGCCTCAGCACGGTAAAGCCCCTGAAAGAATTCCCAAAGCTGCACTGCCCATGAGGCAACTGCTGCCCTCCAGGCTGCTCCCAGAAGCCTTCTGTTGCCCTAACATCTGTATTTCAGGCCCACTGCAGAAAACAGCCAGGACAATGCTTCCTCACCAAGGCAAACATAAACCCTGTGCCACATCTGCATATCTGCTGTGGTGAAGGACTTGGGCTTCCCCTTTCCCTACTTGCTATTGCTTCCTTGTTAGCTTTTTTGGGCTTGAATGGGACTTGCACACCACACTCCATCCCAGAGCTACCCACAAACCTTTAAAAAAAGCCATTTTACTTACTTCTGTATCATGAGTTTTATCTGAACAAAGAGACACCCTCAAGTTGAGAAAGGAGAAAAGCTAAGAACTTTTGCTTCCTATTTTTACATCTGTCTTTTGCCTTTTTTAATATTCCTTTCTGTACCTACCTCTTGGTCCACTAGAGTGATATCTGGCCTCATCCCTTCGCAATAGTGAATATAACGAAGAGCATTCCCAGGTAAGTCTCCTCTTAGCAAGATCACTGCACCCGTTGGCATTGAGGACAGCACATTCCTTGCAAACTTATCAACAACGTAGTTGTTGCTCTGATCACAAGTGCTTAAGAGAACAGATAAAAAAAATAGTATCTTAAAAAACAGCTATTTGCATGGCTTTACATTACCCTCAATTTTATGCACTAGGCACCCACAGGGGAAATCCACCCTGGTCAGATCTACCTGAAAAGCATCATCTCTCTTTGCAGAGAAACTGAAATATAGAAATGAAGCATTTAAATAACAGTTGCCCATAAACTAGCACCAGATAAATGAGCCACTAGAGTTTTATAAAAATACACTCACTGCACGCTTTCACCTTAATTACGATCTTTTTCCTTGGGCTAAACCTAGACTTACTAGATGATGCTAGAAGCTGATACCCACCCCTTTAATGCTTCTAATTTAGCATTAAAAAACTAAGGTTTTGTAGCATCAGGCAGAAGTAGATTTAGATTACCTGAGATTAGATCCTTTTTTGCTACACAGTTTTGTGAATGTACACACTCCAGGTACAGGACCAAGAAAAGGACACTCCATGACTCCACTCAGGACATGAACTATGACTGTCTCACCTACAGACCAGCCTTTGGGAAAAGATTTGTGCAAAGGAAGGAGTCCTAGGTACGAAGTCTACGCTTTGTTGGTGTCCTGGGTTCAGCAGTAGCAGTCATTTTTTTCTCCTTCTTAGTAGCTGGTTCAGTGCTGTGTTTTTGACTTTCAGCCTGGGAACAGCACTGATAACACCAATGGTTTTAGTTGCTGCTTAGTAATGTTTAGTCTGACCAAGGACTTTCTGAGTCTCATGCTCTACCAGGGAGGAGGGGAAGTTGAGAGGAAGCAGAGACAGGACACCTGACCAAAACTAACCAAAGAGGTATTCCATACCACAGCACGTCATGCCCACTATATAAACTGGGGGCAGTTATCCAGAAGGGTGAGATTATTGCTCGGGTCGGGCTGGGTATCGGTCGGCAGGTGGTTAGTGGTTGCATTCTCTTCCCTTGTTATTTCCTTTATCATTATTATTATTGGTGGCAGCAGCAGTGGTTTGTGTTATACCTTAGTTACTGCGCTGTTCTTATCTCAACCCATGGGAGTTACATTCTTTCAATTCTCCTCCCCATCCCTCCCGGAGCGGGGGGAGGAAGTGAGCGAGTGAGCTGTGTGGCTGACTGGACTTAAATCACGACAGTTGGTTAACCCCTACTTCAGTCCTCCTCCTTGGCTCCCAAATCACTGCAGTCTTCAGCATGGTTATGGGATAAGGAAGCCCTTATCTACACTACAGATCAAACTCTTCAAAAAGGAAAAAACATAAGAAAAAGCCCAGGGTGCAAGGAAACCTGAAGCAAAGCAAAGGAAGGAGAAGGTGTTGCTCAGGTCAAATAAATTCTGCAAATCTCCCTAGGAAATAAAGAACAGACTTATGAGGTTTTTTCATTAGAAGATTATGTATCTACAGTTTTCTTCCTTCAACCTACATGACACCCCATATACAGCCTGCAACTGGTGCTTGGTGATTTTGAGGGAAATCAAACAAGGGAGTCCTGTAGGCTACGACCATGCAAGCTTAGACACGATATGAAAAGTGCTTTTCCCACTTCAAGACAAGGACAAAAACCCCAGGAGCAGGAGTAGGGGGTTTACAGCAGCACCCCAAGCACTCGGCACCCCACAGCACTACAAGGCTGCACCAAGACACGTGCCCAGGGGATCTGTTACCTGTAATTTGCCCAGACTTGGGAAGCGACAAGAGTGAGAGTGGAAAGCCACTCCAGCCATGGCAGCACACGGCTGCTCTCCAGCATGGTGCTTCCAACTGAGGCAAGTGTGGCCAGCCCCAGCCCTGCCAGCACAGCCACCACAGCACTGCTCTGCAGCCAGAATCGCTCCACCTAGGACACAAAATCCCAGAGAAACTTTCTGTTTCCTCAGCTGTAAGGAAACAGAATAAGCAGCTGTATTTCTACACTTTAGGCAGCTTCAAGACAATGTCCCAGTTAAGTGGTTTTAAGGCTTCTTCCAAAAATTAACACACCAGAGCAGTTTTTGGAGTGCAACTTACCACACCCAGGAACAGAGGTTTCGTAATATCCAGGTTTGCTCTCCAAGAGAAGAAGAAGGAATAAAGACAGAGCATTCCAGCAAAGAGCCAGATCACGGGTGATTTCTGCTGCTTTGTCCTATTAAACAAAAATAATAAACAAATAGCACTGTAATGGCATGATAAAAAAAGGAGACTAAAGTTGTATGTGCTTGAAAACCACTCTCTCCGCATACCTAAATGCATTTAATACAAGAAGCTGATGAGCCTTTCTTTACCTTTGCAATTTGCGAAACTTCTGTTTCCAGAGCAGAAAACCACCAGGATTTCAAGGTTTTTAAGCCTGCCACCTACAAAGCCACAGGGCTACCAGGAGCAGAGATATTTTGATCTTAATGAACACACGACCACAGCCAATCACTGAAAATTTTGCACCAGCAAAAAGCCAAAGAAAGCTGCCAGTGGAGCCAGTAAGAAAGTGCACATCAGAGCATGTATTCTCCTCCAACTTACGGCAGTGCTGTGTTCACACAGGCCACGAGTGCCAGGGCAAGGACGGGAAGGGAGAGCTCTGACTTCATCTGTGCCACCTGAAAACTGAAGAGAAATTAGTGCATAGATGCATCATCCCCAAATTGCCCCTTGCACTCAATTAAAGTGTCAAAAGCAGGGAATAAGCACAAAAACATATTCCCATTTTGCATATGAATAAGTCTACCAGAAATGGGAACAAGTTTAGTTTACATGTCAGGATTTTGAATGAAACACCACCAGGAAGGGGGATCCAACTATCTTCCTTCAATAGGGAAGACAGACGGACATGCACACTGTCCTTGCGCCAGACACACATGGCCCCAGCTCTGCACCAAACAGAGGGAAGGCAGGACAGGAGCTACTTAGGCCAAAATCACAGCAGTGACAACAGGCTTCTCTCCACTAAAAGGCATAATCAAGATTTTACTCACGCCAGCATCTCTCTCATACTGGATCCTGTCTCAGACTTGGCCTAGATTAAAAAGAGAAAAAACCAATGAGAATCACACATGCTGCCTGCTGAATCACTGGGGGAACGGAAAGCCTCTTCATTTTCTGTATGCTGAGCACACAGGGCTCCTCAAAACCCTCTCAGGTTGTACCCTAAGGTGGTCACAGGGAAAGGGAACTGTTTAAACAACAAAAAGACAGCAAACTCTACTCAAACCTTCATTGCAAGATTTTCCTCCCACGTCCTTGTTTTACTTTATGTCACTGTGCAGGTTTACCACCTGGATAAGCATTTTTTCAAGGCACTACCAGCCCATTAGCTTGTGACTCGAGCACATCATACGGTCTCCACTATATCATAAAATCATTTAGGTTGGAAAAGACCTTTAAGATCATTGAGTCCAACTGTTGACCTAATACTGCCAAATCCACTAAACCATGTCCCTAAGTGCCACATCTACACGTCTTTTGAATACCTCCATGGACGGTAACTCCACCGCTTCCCTGGACAACCTCTTCCAATGCTTGACAACCCTCTCGGTGAAGATATTTTTCCTGATATCTGATCTAAAGACCCCCTGGTGCAACCTGAGGCCATTTATTCTCATCCTTTATCTGCATGGTGCAATTATTTTCTGGGACATCTCCCCACAGCCTGAGACAAGCATGTGGGCTGCAACTTCTGCTTGCTTACCAGACTTGTCCATGTCTCCTCTGCCCTGACAGAGGCAGAGCAGAGTGAGATTTGCATGAGATATATGAGAATTCTCATTGCAGACACCTGCAATCCATGGCACAGGTCTGGGAAAAAAGACATGTTCAGTGGAGGTGAGGAATTACCTTCCTAGGTGCTTGTTGGAAAAGTGGTGGCTACCAGGTAAAATATAAGGTAAATGGATACAGGAGGTCTGGAGGGAATATTTAATCCAAATGAAAATGCAACACTTAACTGCATTTAAAATTTAATTTAAAAATAAAAATGAAAGAGAATGGAGAGCCAGCCCACAGCTCCTGAAGCACCTCTCTGTTTCTTGCAAAGCCTCACCCTGTTGGAGGCCGATGGCTTCTGGCCTCAGACACATACCTTACAGGAGGCGACATTTCTGATCCTTGGCTCATACGTAGAGCCCTCTCCCAAGACCTCTCTGGTTTGGGTTTTTTTTTTTGACCCTGCTTGCCCTTAAAATGGAGCCATGAGACACAAGGGCTGTCTGTCCACCCAGACAGGGCTCTGGCATCAGCCCAACCGGCACTGGGACCAAAAGCTTGGATTTTGCTGCACTTGCTGCTCCTGCTTCAGACAGTTCATCGTAAATGTGATTTGTGGTATAGGATTACACGCAGTCCATCATCCCTAAGCCTCCTGAACATCAACTTGAATTCATCACATTTGATGGAGAAAGGAGTTAAGGGATTTGCATGCCTTGGTATTGCTCTGCCCAAAGGAGTCCCATTCTCAGGAGATAGCTGGGAACAGGACAACAGAGGAAAACTCGGAAGTCCTTCAGAGGGTGGATTTTATCTCTGCAGGAGTTTTGGAAAGATTAAGGAAGCAGCAGTGGGAATTATCAAGTCTTTTGCCTCACAACCTACAGCCACCCAGCTCTCCAAGAAGGCTGTAATGGAACAGCAATGGTACTGGATGTTTCACATTGGCTTAATGCAGGGGCTTAATTTCTGAGGATGCGGGGCTTCAGGACCCCAAGGTGTGACATGGTATGAAAACAGTATATTTTTTTCTCTTTTTTTCTCCCAGCCCTCTGCACTGACATTTCTGATACAGGAAGGACAGAACGGGTGCTGGGCACTTGCTTTCCCTGGATAGCCAGAGCCAAACATCTAAGGCAGGGCTGGAGGAGGTAGATACTGACTCTGTGCTCTGCAAGCAACCATGCAATATATCCCTCCTTTGGCAAGGGCACAGACCTGTCAATAACTCAAATCAGAGATTTCCGAGACCCCTCAATCCTACCATTCATTCAAATTCAGTATTAGTAAGAGGAATTTTTTTTTTTTTTAAAGTACAGCAATGAAAACTGCTTGTTAAAATATCTGAGTTTCAAATAAAATAATAAAAAAGGACAATTATTTGTCTTAAAACAAGAAAAACATAAAACTGATGTCACCATCTTCCTCTAGCACGGTCTGCTCTTTGAGGGCCTAAAAATATGAGACTCCTCTAAAGCTCACAGTAAATAATACAGCTCACCCCATGAAGGCAAAGACAATTATTTTCCCATATTCACAGATTTTTTTTCCATCCATTTGGGAATGGGAATTCTCATTCCACCTGGGAATGGCTTTTCCATCAATTCCCAGAAAACCTGACATATCAGAAGGTCAAAAATCAGAACTAAATTTTTAAAAAGAAAACATTTTCCATTTTTTACCCTGCAAGTCATTAATCATCATAAATATAAAGGTTCTGCTATTGCCTAACCTAAAAGCAAGTAATTTAGAAAATGACCCTTATTTACCAGATTGAATGTCCCATATTCTTCCCTGAGAAAGTGGGTCAAAAATCCTTGAAAAGTCGTCTGGTCTCCCCATGTCCAGCGGGCTCGATTGAGGTAGGACGAAGCCGGCAGATAGAGATAAGGCAGCAAACCAGCCAAGAAGCATAAACCCAACTTCAGCAAATGGCCTAGGGACAATTCCTGCACCAAAATATGTCATATTGCATAACAATGTTTATTTTAGTTTAATCACGCTGGAACTTCAAGAACAGATAAAGAAAAAACATCAAATATATTTACACAGAGCTGATCTCTCAATTTGTAGTAAGTCCCTACAAAATGCTATGTTAAACCTTACGATTTTGTGGATTACTAGGAAACTGCATCAAACTGATCTCCTTTGCATGGCAGGGTGAAATTTAAGTGAAGCAAATAATATTAGCTAGGACTCATGAGTATCATACTCATTGCATCTTTCACATTTAAATCATGGCATGACATGCATAGATGGCTGAAGCACTGCAAGGCTGAGATAACCCACTTTGCAGCGATTAAGAGTTGGCTGGTATTCCATCTGGCAAAAAAAAAATGTTGCTCTAGTTCAACTACATACATCATCACCATCATCAGGAGTCAGTTTTGCCATTTACTTCATCACGATTACACTGGCTAAATTGGATAGGCCAACTTTTGGGGTACGATTTTCAAGACTGCCTAAGGGGTCAGGAAGACAAGACTTTCAAAGGGACTTCTGTGCCTAACTCCTTTAAGTGCTTTGGAAAATCCCACCCTAGAATATTGCACGCTTGCTTTATCATTAGCCACTGCCTTGTCAATCAAAGCACTTCTTCAGCAGTTGGGGTTATGGGGAAGAGGCACCATTCAAGAGTGATGATCTACAGAGTAGAGAAAGTAGCTTCATAATGGTGGTGGTCAGAGTGCCTTCAGAAAAAAGCTGGCTCTTTTTTTACTTAAAAAGTCACTGTTTTCTATCCATCTTATTAGGTGGTTTTCCGCAGCAGGCACTGGGCTGCCTAAAGTATTTCCCAGGAATGTTACACTGGCACAGGACTGTCCTTGCTGGAAATCACAGAGGTCTCTCTAGACCTCCATTGTTCAAAAAAACCCCCAAGAACAAAAAGGAAGCTCTGTTTAAAGAACACAAATATATTGCAGAAGTGAGTCTCCACTGTTAGAGGAAATACACAGTCAGAACAAGTTCTGCTGGAGACACTGAAGAGATTTTTGATCAAGCTTGTCTGAGCTGCATCTTTTCTCCTACAGCTTGCATGATTCACTCCAGACATAGTTACACCCTGTGTAACTTGAGAGCAGGACCTCTGGTAGGAGATGAAAGGCATGTATTTGACCACATCACAGGCTCACTGTTTCGCCAAGGATCAGTTTTCCTTTGGTCTTCTCCAGCTGGCATGAGCCAGGCACTCTTCACCTGAGAGCTGATCTCTTCTAGGACTCTCAAGTCTTGGCTGCATTAGAGCTGGAGGCCACCAAGTCTGGCACATCCCAACAACATGCTGAAGAGGAGCTCCCGTAGAGACAAAGCCTCTGCACCCTTCTTGCTGTGTTGCTTACTCTGGCTGCATCTTCAGTTATCAACAGCAGTTGCAAGATGCTCTGCAAGAAGTGGACATGGCTTTTGTTTGTTACCAGCAGGGAACCAACATACAGAAACTCATCTCCAGATGAGTTGGTGGCATGAGAAAGCCAGCAGCTAGAAGCAGCAGCACACACAGACTGCACGTGCCTGTGACTTCTCACCGACAGATATTTGTCTGCTTTCCTGTTTGGACATGCTCTTATTTCCGACATGCTGAGCAGTTCTTAGCTCCAAGAACTGGTCTTGTAGTTGCTCACTGGGTGTTTACAAGCACTTGGGGCAGAGCACTCCTGTGACAGGAGACATAATCAGGTCACAGATTGCTGGTGGTCTCCTAAATTACGATCAGTGGCCCTGGTATCAGACAGAGGGACTGTAACTTCAGTAGGTCTTGACTGACTAGTTTAGACAGACCCACGACTGTCCCTGTTTGCACATCAACATAGAACTAACACAACTGCTTGGAAAGAAGAACTACTCACTCCCTTACAAAAATAGAGGTATAGGTCACCAAAATACATACCATTTTTCTGAAAAGCTGTGAGAGAACCCAAGGCACAATACAAGCAATATAAAGCACTATCGTGTGCTGATTGCACAAACTGAGCCCACAGCAAAAGGCACCAAATTTAGAGATCTGAAAGAAAAAAAGACAACAACCCATCCCATTCACAATTACTCTTCACAGTTTGCAAAAATATTCAGAGACCAAAACAGCTTCAGTACAGCCCACAGCACCCTCACAGAAGAAAAGCTAGTGTATCAGTGAGCAGTTGTCAATCATAACACAGACAGTACAGGCTATTTTTTGCTATTTGCAGGGAAATTTCATGTGTTTAAGAGAAAACATTCTTTACGAATTGTCCAACTGAACAGTTACGTCTCCACGTACATAGAGACCCTATACAGCACCCTCACATCATAAAAATGCAATGGGGTCTGATTCCTGACCCCCTGCTGCACAGCAGTTAACTCTGAATGATGCAAATTTTCAGAAGCCATACACTAAAATAATGCCATTATGTACAGAGACGTCATTTAATGAAATATGAATGACTTTTTCCCCTTCTTCAGGCATAGATGGCTAAAGTCAGGTCTACACAAACTTTCTTAGCAAACAATTAAATGTGATAAACCTCATTGTCTAAAAGCTCCTATTAGAGCGAGACCAGAGAAGAGCATGAAGATGCTCAGAGGGCTGGAGTACCTCTCCTACGGAGACAGGCTGGGCTTGTTCAGCCTGGAGAAGAAAAGGCTCCAGGGAAACCTTAGAACAGCTTCTAGCACTAAAGCGGCTAGAGGAGGCCTGGAGAGGGACTTTTGACAAGGGCCTGTAGGGAAGGGACAAGGGGGAATGACTTTAACCTGACAGAGGGAAGATTAAGATTAGATATTAGGAAAAAATTCTTCCCTGTGAGGGTGCTGAGGCTCTGGCACAGGTTGCCCAGAGAAGCTGTGGCTGCCCCATCTCTGGCAGTCTCCAAGGTTGGATGGGGCTTGGAGCAACCTGGTCTATTAGAAGGTGTCGCGGCCCATGGCAGGAGGGTTGGAACAAGATGATCATTAAGGTCCCTTCCAATGCAAGCCATTCTATGATTTTCAAGCACCTCTGAAAGGGTTTTCTGATAAAACAGTTATTATATCCAAATTGTGCAACACAGTGCAGGGTATTTCTGATACTCATTGAGGATTATTCACAGGTTCATTATTGGTACCATGGCCATCCCTGGCTGATGCTAAGGAAAGCCTCTCTCTGCCCCATTCTGCCATATGCTCTGCTCTGTAGCACCACAAGACCAGTGCTGAGTCCTCTTCATTCACAGCAGAAAGACAAAGCTACAAGAGCAACTCCATATAGAAATCTTGGGTCAGTGCCACATACACCTCTGGCCACTGCTCCTCCTCTGAATTTGCCTCCTCCTCCACAGTCACTGGCCACTTGGTCCATGTTACAACCCGAATTCATGCCCAGGGCAGCTCCTTGGTGGGGAAAAAGCCACCAGAGTCCCACAGACATTATTGGACCAGAGCTGACAACACATCCTCATCTCCCCAGCCATCCCCAAGAAGGATGGCACTTCCATCTATCATCAGAGCATCGCCCCTGCTTATTTCACTCACTGGTGAGGATGGTGTGTGAGATGCAAACACTTGCCTTAGCATGTTGATGAGATCACCTTGTAATTTTCTAACAGCTGCACAGCCTTCAATGTCTGATGCTGCCTTGCTGAGGAAACACCTGCCATAACTTCATAAAAACATTAGTGAGCTTCAGAGCTGCCCAGCAGGACTCAGAACAACCTCAGCAATTTTTCAAGTCTAGTGACAGACTCCAAGCACACTCTTGAAGATGTCTGCATGACCATCTGATTTTTGAAAAGCACTGTAAGCTTGATGTTGGCAGCCTGGATTCTTCAAGGCGTGGGATGCCAGACACCTAAAAACATTTCTACAAGCTCCTTAACAGATTCTGAAAATCTCATCTGAAAATCCCATTGGAAACTGGGCATGTGAAACATGGGAGCAGGCTGGAAAATGCCCAATTCCATCTCCATGGAGTTCAGGTACAGGGATCTTGGGACAGTACTCACCAAAAAATAAAAAACATCCAGTGGTGAAACAAGGTCCCTACAACCACCAACTAAACATGTTCTTTGAGAACTCACAAAGCTGAGTAAAATATCACTGTGGAGTCCTGAAATTCTAGCCTAGCCCAACAAAAATCCTTTCATTCATACAATTTACAGGAGTCACAGCGGGCAAGCCTGTCGAAGGAGAAGAGATCAGATGCTCAGGCAAAGAAAAGTCGAAAGAACAAGATTGCTGAGTAAAAATGTCATTTGGTTGCGTAGCCTGTTTGTAAAATAGAGAATACAGCATGAAATTTAAAGTCTCTGTATTTAATAATGCCATTATTTTAGGGGCACATTTAATTTCAAAAGAAGAACTCATTGAAAAATCGGTCATTTCTGTTTTTCAGTAGAAACCTGGGTTTCTGACTTCATGAAGTTTTCTGTAAAATATATCTGTTTATCCCCCCCCCTAAAAAAACAGTTCTGAAAACAAACATTTGCACTCCCACAGCCTAGTTTGAGTCGTGGATGCAGGAAATCAAACTTTGCATTAAAACGTTTAGATGAAAGCAATTTTGATTTTCCTGTTTCCAACCGGTGTGTATTACATGAATCAATCCCAAACCCACTCAACAGGTCCCAGCTCAACTCTTAAGCCAAGTGGATAGGTTTTGCAATATTTGGCACTTCTGAACAGCTAGGTAGGTCAAGCATAGACACCAGCCAGCACAGGTGCTCAAACAAGTCCCAAAATTTGGCCCTTTTTGTTTAAACAAAACTGAGCATTAAATAAATAGGAAGTTAAACAAACATGTGACAACTAATTAAAGAAAAAAAAAATAATTATTCCCTTTGCTTGAGATGTTTTACCTTTGATCTCTCTCTTGCGGTGGATGCCTCCTCAAAATGAGCGGTGAGAGCCATCAGCAGCCCCACAAACAGATTGTTTAAGCTAAAAACCTCTGCTGTGATGGACCACTGCCATGTTAGACGAGAAAATGAAAACACCCCCGCAGCAAGGATTCCTCCAGCATATGAGCCAGAAAGCCTGCAAACACAGATAACATGAAATCTTCTTTTCCAACAAAAAAGCCTACTTTATTGTCCTTTTTTTACATTTCTTTTTTTAAAACATACCATAGAAGCAGAAATGATGACTGTCACCCAGCACCCTGCCAAAACATTATATGGTTAATATCTTCCTAATAATTTCTTTGCAAAGAATTGCAATTAGGAAGAGGGGGCATTAGCCAACCTCTCTATTTGTAAGCTACCCAACACTAAAGAGTCAGCTTCCTCCACAAATGCCACGAAAACTTTGAATTTGGTTCAGAAACCTCGATGAGAGATGGCCCAGAGGGTCATGGTATGCCGAGCCAGGGAGTCACGCCTATAATGGGATACTCTCTGCTGGAGGAAATGCCAGCAAGGGTGCAGCCTTAAATTCATCAAGGCGATGAATAAAGAATGGATTAGAGCTATTCATGATGGACAGCATTAGCAGAGCTGTCCTACGGGGGTATTTAGTGTCTCAGGGGTGGGTGAGGATTGTGATACCTACAGTCCCAGCAGGGAGAGGTGCCTGCCGGGGTCATGCACAGGGAAAATGGGTGTCAGCTCCAGCAAGCAGGAGGGAGCAGAGGAACAGGTGAAGCTTCTGCCATTGGGACGGATATGAAAGCTGGGCACCTCTGTGACCCCTGGATGGGATTATGGCACACACACCCCCCAGAGCCACTTGCCAAACTTGGCTGGATGCTGCAGCTGGCGCAGGGAGCCCACAAGGTGGGACTTAGCTCAGGAAACCTATTATGCCCATTCTGAATACTGGCTCTGCCTGTTTGGAAGGTCTCCCCTTCAGGAAGTCACCCTGAAAAGATGCCTCGTAGGGCACCAAAACCAGCTCAATTAAGCGTTATCCGAAGACAGAAATAGCTGTGGCTATGGTCAAAGCTCCTCTCCAGAAATTCACTATCCAACTCTAAGACTAAGCTGGGCTCTACTGCAAATTGGATATTTTTTTCTAGTTCTAGTATTCAGGCACACACTTCCATTCAGACCTAACATTTCCAGCAGGTTTAAACTGAAAATTATAAACCAGCCAACTTCATCAAGCTACATGTGTCATTTGCTTCTAAATACTGGCCATATCCTCTAGCACAGACAAAGTCCCCAGGTGCATTGTTCTGCCCATTAGGGATCAGAGAGTGGATGTTCACATAGGACGTACTTATTGGATTCCTTACGTAACTCTGAGATAAACAGCAACCAAAGAAACAAAACCTTTAGGCCCTACAGAGATGAGGGAGCTGCTTGCAGAGCACTCTCCAGCAAGGGCTCCTCTCACTGGTTATACTTTCTTTCCACCTTCCTAAAATGACCTCAGTACAACCAAACTATTTCTGTAGATGTCAAAAAAAGGACTTGCACAGTCAGAACTGGAATTTTTAATCCATTAAAAATGGGACGCAGGGTCCATGGGGAGAAGGGGACTGGCATAAGGACTCAGGAAGACTATGTCTCTATTCATCCTTCTGCCACTGATATCAGACAGTCTGGGGCAAGCCACACCACTGCTGCTGCCCCAGGCATCTGCAAAATGGGACTAAGGATTTTCATCTTCTTTGTAAAGAATTTTGAGATGTGCAGTTGGAGGAGAAGGTAGCTAGAGGGCAAGAAGTAATGCTGTTCAGTTAACACTGGAAAAAAAGAAAACCCTCAGGTGTCCAAGGCCAGAGTGAGACAAGCACGGAATGACACAGAGCTTCAGCATCTAGATGGTAGGAAGGTGTCTTGAAAAATCAGTGGAAGGAGAAAATAAGTCTGAAAATTCCCAACTGACAGAAGGTGGAACTGTTTCAGACCGAATCTGTGTCTGCAAAGTACCCTATAAGCTTTTGAAGAAAGGTGATGTGGAACCTCTTCTGTAGGAAATCAGGCAAACCACTAGAATCTACCATTGTGCTCACTGATGCATGGCACCATGGGGGACTCTTCCAACTTCTAAACTTCACTGTGGTTCAACATAGGTCCAGATATTTGGCACAAAATTCTCCACGGTAAGACCTGACCCTCACTGCATTAATATAATGTTTCAAAACCCACATAATTGCCTATAGAAAAGGCATTTGCAGGCATGAATACTGCTCCACTGCTTTTGCCACCAAGCCAGCCGGGAGTCCGTATCCTCCAAGGGAGAGATGGGACACGTATGACCTGTCTGGCAAGGTTCTCGGCCTCAAGGGCTCTGGTTGTGCTCTCCTTCTCTCTGTTATGAGAAAGATGTGGCACCTGAACAGGAAAAAGGAAAGATGCAATGGAGTTTGCAGGAATTAAGTCAGAAGTGGTTTCTGCTCCTAAACGAAAAAAAGCAGGAAAGGGCAGCACGGCCATGTGTATTTAAAAACCAAGGGATCCCCTGACACACAAACCCCACTACACAACATCCCCAAGTTTTGACTAAACCCTTTTAGACAGCATGAACTTTTAGTTATAAAGAAACAACTTTGTAAATCCCTTTGAAATTCTTGCAAGGAAATAAGGTAAAAAAAGGTAAAACAACCTTCCCTAAAACCTTCAGATGAAAATCAGTGTTTTAGGCAAACATCCCAATCATTTACCAGTTCTCCTTGTCTTTCCCAGAAAAGACCGCAGCATATCATTAAGGTTCAAGTAAGATGAAAGAAATCCCATCCCCTCAACAAAAATGTCTCAAACCTGCGATTCAAGTTCTATGAAATAAGGCTTAAGCAAAAGCTACTAAACCCAAAGCTTAAAGCCTTATCCCAGCTATGTGCGACAGAGGACACCTCCACTCACCAAGCAGTGCAGGGTCAGGATCCAGCACTAAGAACAGTCCACAGATCTGTTTGTCAACAGAGCTGGCATTGCCTTTAGTTTCCTGTGAAACTTGAGGGAAAGCCAGGCTGCTAAGCTTACTTTGTTAAAGCATGCTGCGGCATAAAGCTCCAACAAGTATCCTAGATGTTAAAAAAACACATGGAAATGTGTTGCATTCTTGAAGAATATCAAGACAGTAGCTTTGGGAAATACAAGCCGGAGACCAAGAGATTTTTGCAGATTCTGCTACCAGCAATGGAAATGATGAGTTTATGAGTTTGCTGGTTCAGAAAGAAACACTCTTTGAAGTGATCAGAGAAGGTATATCCAGATAAGGATGAAGATCAGCTGGCAAAAAAACCACCCACATCCATCAGGTTCATCCAATGCAACAACTCACAGTGCAAAGTAACACTGGTAGGACAAGAAGAAATGAAACCTATGCAACTACGTCAGTGTCATGCTGTGGCTAAATTAAATCAACCCTGCCTTGCAGCTGTGCTAACATAGTTATACTGCTCATTTTGATTGACATGAGGATCTCCATGCACTACTGAACTCTGGTATCTGGCAGCCTCTTGGACTTCTCCAGCAGTCACACTGTGCTGCAACTCTCTTGCCTTAGCATCAAGATGGCCCCAAACATACACAGTCCAAGGAGATGACAAAGCAACTCAGGCATGGACAACAGAGGTTAGCCTCCTACAACACTTCATCTACACTACAACATCTAGGAGGGCTTTATTCCATTGCTTCTGGGGAGCAGGAAGGATAGCATGCTCCCTTCAGTCTTGGAACTGGTATGAGAAACAGCAGATGACTGGAACAAGAGGATCAAGGGGTTGCCAACAATGAAGCCATGGCCGTGGTAATAACCATCCAGTGTTCATCTGTCTATACAGTGTAGGCACAAAGTTACCCTGCAGTGACTTCCTCAAAAACAGAGGCTTTACAAAGACCAAAAGGTTGGCAAAACCCTGCTGTAAGGCTTTGTCTGGTGGAGGGAGGATCCTGGGAAAATAGGGTCACCTAGAAGAAAGCATTCAAAGTAGTACCCTGCCCTCGGAACAGCTTCAGGATGCAGAAATCAGCCCATGAAAGAACAAAATAATTGCAGCCAATGCAACAATGGGAAAGTCTTCCTAACTTCTCCCAGGGTATTACAGTTACCACCAGCAGGCCCACTTCGAGAAGGACTGAAGCACTGAGCTTGAATAAAAGCTGCCTTGCAGGCTTGTTTATCTTAAAATACAAACCAAGGGAACAGCTTGTTTGCAAAATCATTAGTTTGGGACAAGATCTGCTCAAAGCATGTGGAAGCCTTATCAAGACAAAACAAGTGGAAAGAAGATCCCTTATTATCGGTCAGCCAACCTATGTTCACAAGCAGAAATTCCCATCATCTTAAAACGCACTCAGAAGGGATAGAAACAGTCAGCAAAGGAGAGGCCACACAGTCCTGTGTGAGGAATATTTTCCCATGGCATCCCTAAACATAACAGGAAAAGACTAGAAAAAATATAAAATAATATTATTTTGTTTTCCTTTTCAGACGCCCAAGTAGAAAAATGTGTGGCTGGGCCTGAGCTCCAAAGACACAAGCAGTTGAAACTTGCCTTAATCAGAAATATTTTAGCTGCAGGTTTTCATTAAGAGTTTACAGGAATAATCAGGAAAACTGAAATTAGGTATTTTAATCCGGTTTTGCAATTACAGTTTTTAGCTTATCATTGCTGGCAATCATAGAATAGTTAGGGTTGGAAAGGACCTTAAGATCATCTAGTTCCAACCCCCCTGCCAATGGCAGGGACACTAAACCACACTAAATCACTAAAACACATCAGTTTGCGATCTAGAATTTATCTTCTCCTTAAGTCTGGTAAAACTATCTGTTACCCAGAGCACAGGTTATCTCTATATGTATTTAACAAATAACTTGATCAGCAATTTTACTTTTCATTTAGAAAATCATGGCAGGCTTTTTATATTTAATAATTTGCAAAAACTTATTAAATTCTTGGTATAAAGCTAAAAATGGCTTGAAATAGGAATTTAGTTAGGATGTTTTCATTAAACGCAATATTTGACACACTGGATTCATAAAGTAGTAAGATAACTGGAACGTTTTATATTTGAAGCTGATGTATTAAACACTGGAAAACCTATCTGTACCTAGTGAAATAAGCTGGTTATTTCCGCCTTCTGTTC